AAAAAAATTTTATCATTTGTGTAACGGCCGGGTGACTCAGGTAATCGTTTCCTAATTTGGGACGGTCTCCCCTGGAGTTAACCCGCGGGTATACTTGCCGGTTAACCGGGTAACGTTTTTTTGACCGAGTACAATCACTAAGTGTACAACCCCGTGCCAATAAGTAAATGAAAAAGCACGGGTTGTTACATAAGACCCGTGCAATAAATAAAAATATAGTACAGTCGTCCTCACCTCCTATATAATCACACCCTCTTTATAAACACTATTTTTTGAACTATAACTGATAATCTTAAAATTTTTGTAATCACAACTTTTTTATGTAAAACAAACAGCGTGATTATAGAGAACAACTGTATAACATAGTTAATAAAATAAAATTACTGTATATAAAATAAAATAAACAAATATCACTATGCGACTATGAAACACAATGATGTTAATTGACGTCTACATGCTTTAAACCCCCCTAATTTGAATGGCCTTTCATGTACCAGTACTAGCTACTGTTTGTTTACGTATAAAAAATTTTTTTAACAAATGTTATAAACCAAATAAATTATACGTAATTTTCTTTTAATTTTCTTTTAAATATATATATATATTAGCAAAAAATTTATTTTCACAAAGCAACTCAAGTAAAATAATAAAGGGCAAATTCGCCTGTGTCAATCGAAGAGATAGAATTTTTAATCGGTCAAAATCAGGGCTGGCTCTGCAAAAATTCCACGAGGGATTTAATTTTTATGTTACACTTGATCTTGAAACACCCCCGTGCACAAATTGAAATTCCTTTAATAAACGCCGGTATAAACCTGTCATGTCATGTAACGAGCGACCGATCAGCGGGATTTATTTTTTTTCTGTACCACATTTGTACCATATCCTTATGGAGCCACAATTTTTACAATTTAAACCCCCAACGTTTGTAAATTCTGAGATTTTTTAAAAAAAATGACGACGAAATTCTTAGATAGATTGTCTCAAGATCTTACAAAACTTCTTGATTGCGAAGAAGGTTATGACACGAATATTTTTGCTGGAGAAGGTTCTGACAGCCGTACGTTTAAGGTTCATTCGGCAATATTGCGGTTTAGATCATTGTATTTTTATAAAGAATTAGAAGAATTATCCTTAGGTCAGAAAAATCGTATGGATATTCATAAAAAAAATATCCCTGGCAGTATATGTGATATTCTTTTAAGGTAAGTTCATTTTTTAATGATAATCAAAGCAAGTATATATATTTATTTACACATGTTAAATGCTATATATTTATTATCACGTAGATATATGTATGGAGGAATCATTTCTTTTGATCATCTAGATGCATCTACTATTTTAGATGTAATGATCATTGCTGATGAGTGGTCTCTTGTTGAATTAGCGAAATATCTCGAAACCTTTTTATATGAAACAAGTACGAAATGGCTATGGTCTAATATTGCCCTTGTCTATTATGCAAGTTCCAAATCGGAAAACTTTCAAATTTTACGTCAGTTCTGTACGAAAGTCATTACAGAACGTCCGGATGCCGTGTTTGACACCACTGATTTTGAATCACTTCCTAAAAATGTAGTTGTCTCTGTTGTTAGTCGTAGTGATTTAAATGTCGATGAATCAAAAAAATGGGATTGTATAATTAAATGGGGAATTGCACAAAATCAACAAAAACTACCAAGTAATCTAGATCAATGGACCGATGTCGATTTTTATCGCCTGAAAACAACGATACATCATTTATTACAGTATATTCACTTTCCGCGATTCACCAATGAAGAAATTTTTAATAAAATTCGTCCATTTCAACAAATTCTCGAACCAACAGCCTGGATAAATATAATGCAGCGATTTACGAATAGTGAAGAACCAGTTAATAATTGCATCTCTTTTCCTTCTCAGATTCAACATAACATACATCCCAACATCGCTTTTTCAACGATTATAACTACTGAACATGTAGTGCAAATTGCCACATGGATCGATCGCAAATTCTCAACATATGACATCTTGAATATTCCATATGATTTTAAATTATTACTCCGAGGTAGTGAGCATGGATTCAAGAGTAAGACTTTCCACGACAAATGTGACACAGTATCTCATACAGTGTTAGTTCTAAAAGTCGCAGAAACAGGTAAATTATTATTATTTTTTTTTAAAAAAGGGTTATTTATTTATTTTTTTTTTGCTGAATAATTTTATTTCATGGTCAATAGGAGAGATTCTTGGTGGATACAATCCCCTAAAATGGAATACTAATGCACAAGATAAATCGGATAAAGTAATCAAGAAGGATACTTGGTCCAGAACAAAAGATAGTTTCATTTTTAATTTAACACCAAAAATTCTAGAAAATCCGGGTGGTAAAAAAATTAATGATACTTATGTATTAAGTAGGGTTCAGAATCCAGGATATGCATTCTTTTATAGGTAGGTCTATTTAATATAAAAGTTTATTATAATGTGTTTGAATAATCTTTAACTGTTTTACATATTTTTAATAGTTCAAAATTGGGACCTAACTTTGGAGATTTTGATCTTAAAATGAGTAATAATTTCAAAAAGTCCAAAGGAACCAGCTGTAGACAAGTTAATTATGAAAAACCTATTAGAAAAAGCACTGAACCCTTTATGATTGATGAATATGAGATATTTCAGATTTGTCCAAGAACTTAAATTTCATATGCACTTTATATGGTCAAACTTTATTCAACATAATGGACCTAATCAATATCTCTCATAAAGGGCTCAGGAGCGATATGAAATCAGATATTAATTAGCGACCATTAAGTTACATACACTGTAACTAAATTTTGACCATATATTTACTTTTATTTGTTACGTAAAAGTATTATTTAGCTAAAAAAGTATTAGTTTAATTATTATTATTTTTTTTGCATTTATAAAAATCATTATCATATTTTAAGTACATTGCATCATCGTTTAATAAAAATTGTTATTCATTCATTCATTTTTTACGTTACACATTTTGTCAAATTGGATAAATTTCGGATGTATTCTATAAATAATTTTTGAAGGTCCTATAATTAGGTTTGCTTGGCGATATTCAGTTAATTCAACTGGCTGCCAAAATCCTAAACTATCAAACTTTGTTTATTTAAGAAGTAACGTTATATTTGCAAAATATCAAGGTTATTTTATATATCGATATGGCAATTGTTTTTTGGAAGGGTTGAATTTGTCGGCTTTTGCCGGAAATTCAACCAACCAAATTATTTGATTACTCAACTAATCGTTAAAAAGATATTTGTAGGCTTTATAAAGAATCTGATTACGCATTGCCTATAATTTCATAATATTGCGTAATCTACAATAACATATTTGATGGTTGAATTGAACCTATTAGGTTGTATTAAAGGGTTTTTCGTCAGTAAGCACTATTTGAGGGGGAACTCGCGAAAACGGAAAGATTTATAGTTAATATGTTGCATATTGTACAATTATTCAAGACTGTGTATTTTAGAATTAGTAAAAAGAAAGGAAAAAAAAGGAATCAAAGTTTAAATAAATAAATATATGATAAGTATTTACAAAACCATTTTGATACATGTTTCATAGTTGAACTTTCAGAATTTGACCACATTCCCAAGTTTTATCAGCTTCTAATTTAACATATTCCGTAACTGTCCCAGGCTCAACACAAACCATATTTTTGTACTCTTCATCATCAAAGTCCGACATTGAGCGAGCTTTATCAATCCATGGATTCCAAACAACTTATCAAGACATATAAAATGTTAAGATAAATTACATAATAAATATGAAATAAATTGACGGCAAAAAAAAATACCTGTATCCTTTAAATTGATCTTCTTTAGGGTGAAATTACCCACGCCATCCGGCTGACACAAATCGATAAGGAATTCATCTCGAGGAACATTTTCATAAATGCGATCAGTTTCTTGATCGATTGTAATTGAATCCTTTGCATCCAGAGCGCGTGTGAAATTTGTAACTTTATCAATATAAGTAATATTGTTTAGCCCTTTGATTGAAACCTTGGAAATATCCTGCAAATAATAACGGTTAAAATCACGATAAATGAAATCAAAATTCAGTTGATTTTCATCTTACCGGGACGTAATAATAAGTATGTAAAAGAGCATTAAAATCAAATGGTTCAGCGCCCTTATTTTTAACTTCCAATGTATTTTTTAAAGTATTGGCAGTTAATGTTACGATAAATATAAGTTCAAATTTCTTTGGCCATTCTTTGTGAAGATTTTCTGGAACCTGAGCATCCGTGAGGCCTAATTATTATTGTTTCGGAATTAATTGATATATTAACAGTATATAATTGATATATTAACAGCATATAATTGATATATTAACAGCATATAATTGATATATTAACAGTATATAATTGATATATTAACAGTATTTAATTTCATTAATCTAATGCAACACTTACAAAACCTAGCAGATAATTCTTCATCATTATCCACGTCAACACCTAACCATTTCCATGTAGAAACGCGAGCAATACCGTGTTGTGGAAGATTCGCTGTTTCTGCCGATGGTTCAGATGCTTTAGCAAATTGAGGAAAAACTTGATATTTTATAATAAACTTACAAATCAATAATGTAAATTTTTAATAAATTTTATGAATAGCAAAACGAACATTAATATTACTTAAAGGAATTCCACCACGTATCGCTTTTGTTCCGTCGAGTTTTGAATCTTTACTTTTGTAATATTTAAAAATAAATATTTTTTATTCTTAATATATTTTATTTATATGTACTGTATTATTGATACACAAATAGGTAAAATAATAATTAAACTAATACTTTTTTTAGCTAAATAATACTTTTACGTAACAAATAAAAGTAAATATATGGTCAAAATTTAGTTACAGTGTATGT